GAATGTAAAGTAAGGAAAGTTAATTTCCCATATTTGATTTATTAGTTAAAAAATAATATTCCTAAAAAATATCGTTGTTTCCTATGAAATTGTTCCCACGAGATTGGTAAGAATCTTACTTTTCCGAGTGAAATGAAAATTTTTATTATGATAAAAATATCATATTGCCTTTATTTATTTATTTGTCTATTTTATGCAGTAAAAAAATTATTTTTAAAAATTATTTATAAATATTCTTAAAAACTATTATGATTAATTAAATGAATTTTAATCATTCGTAGAAATTATGATTATTGAAATTTACAATTTTCAAAAATCATGATTTTGGGATACAAATTTTTTTCTTGAAATTTACAATTTTTAGAAATCATGATTCCAAGACACGAAATTCAAACAACATGACTAAAAAGTGAATATTATTATTACTATTATTTCTATTTATAACAAGTAATTTAGAGTAATAGCTTATTCTAGGGGTGTTCAAAATCAAACTAACCTAAACAAAAAATCACAAATCAATAAAAAAAATGAAAACGGGTGGAAAATCACAAATTAACAGGTCAATTCAATTTTTAAATTTGCTAAACTACGTAGTTTGGTCTGATTTTCGGATTGGAATGTGAAACCACTTAGACCAAATCACGTTGCACTTATATATAAATATATTTTTTCTAAATGCATAGTATATGTATAAAAATTGATACATCACATAAAAGGTGTTTTATAAAATTGCAAGTTACTAAAATATGTTTTTCTCACAAAAAATACGTTATAATATTTGAACAATATTTTGTAAAATTATAAGTTATCACACTAAAGTTTAGAATGAAAAATTATGAATTATTTATAATGTTTGAAAATAATTTTTTTAAGCGACAAACAATATATATGAGAAAATATTTAATATGATAATGAAAATTATATTGAAAAAATATTTTTACTAAAATAATAAGATAAAAATTGGTGTTATATGCCTTAAGTGATCAAAAATATTTTGGTATTTATATACTTCTATTTTTTTTTGACATACAATCTTAAATAAATAACATTATATTATATATTTGTAGTTGATTGTTAAATAACTAATTTGAAGAACCACAAAAACCAAACCAAACTAAATCGTAAAAAATTGGCTTGGTTTGATTCGAATCTCATAATTTATTCAATCGAATCACATTTAGTTTTGGCTAAAATCCTAATTTAGTCCCTTATAATATTATTTTGTTTCAATTTAGTCCCATTTTAATTTTTTGTTTCAATTTGGTCCCTAATAATTTAAATTAGTGCAATGTCGGACTTCTATCCAAATTATTAAAATGGGACAGATCGGAAGACAAAAAGCTTGTCCAAGTGATTTATAACCATCTTATTCATCCCTGAAGCAGATCAAACAAAACATTTAGAAACAAGACCACCACCAACATTCTAAATCTATCCAAACAAACACTTCCTTTCAAAACCAAGACCCAGCAACAGATTCACACACGAACAAACAAAAACTTCCACAGAACCCAAATTGGCAAATTCTCTTTGTAAATGGAAAACAAAAACAAAAGCTACTTATTGACAATCCCCCTCAGATTTTCAAGCACATCACAGTTACACTTAGCACTTGTTACGTGAAAAACCTCGATCAACATAAGATGCAAACGAACACATACCCACATCATAAAAATCCAAACTTTTGGAATCCGAAGATGCAACATTACTTGGGATGAACAAAAATGAGTGGAAATGACAAAAGGGTAAGCGTAATTGTTACCATTGGGTCCAAGGGAAGTTCGAGTGATAGTGGAAAGTTGTTTGCAGGCGTCGATGTTCTTGAGAACCGCTTCATCGAGACCAGTGAGGTGTTTGTGCCCTTCCTTGAGCATGGATTGAATCCCGTAGGGTTGAATGTTGAAACCCATCTTCTTGCAATCTGAAAAACCCTAATCCTAAAACCCTCGAAATGGCAAGTTCTCGCTTCAACTTTGAAATTTTGTGCTTACACACTATCACTGCTCCGCGCTATCTCACTAAACTCTTATAACGCAACGAGGTATAGGAAAAAAGCAGTGAGTGAGAAGAATGTGGAAAAGCTAAATAAAAAATAATTAAACTAAATCCATAACATAATAGAAAACTCTCGCTCATTTAAAATAAAAATAAAAATTCATGACTTACTAAAAAAATATAATAGCAAACTTTTGAATATACAAAATATCTATATGAATATATCAAACACAGTATGCCTTTATAGAACGAGACCATTTAAAAAAAAAAAAAATTATGAGAGAGTTTTTAGAGATTTTTTTTATTTTTTATATAATTTAATATAGGAATTACATTTCATGGTCATTTAGATTTAGGGTTAATTTAGGTTAACATGTACACTTTCATTTGAATGTCATTAGTATTTCATTTGAAGGTGCATTTCGGCCATGTGCACACATGCACATGGTGTGACCGAAATGCAACTCAAATGGATACTAAATCACATCCAAATGAGTGCAGATGGAGGGGGTGGCCGGTTGGCACCAAAATTTGAATTTTAGAATTCAAATTTTGGCGCCTAGAGTTAAGTAAACCATACCATGGTTCTACTTAACTCTAGGTAAACCCAACTTAAACCCTTAACCTAATTTCTCCTATAAATCTTCCTATGGCCGAGTATTGTAACACTTTGGATTATTTGATGAGTTTTTCTCTCTTAAGAACTCTCCCTCTCCGAAGTCACCTTTTTCCTAAAACTCTACCCTACTTGAGCTCCTCTCCTTGTAGAGTTAGGGAATTCTCTTCTTCTTCGGACTTGGCTACATGCAAGCTTAGGTCACATTGTGCTTCTTGGAGTCTTCTTCCTTGAAGAACTTCTAAGGAATCCCGGAAGCATTGAAGAACTCATGAGATCTCCAAGTGGAATCTCATCAGATAGGAAGATGGAAAAGAAAGATAGAGAAAGAAACAAAAAGAAAAATCTAAAAATAGACTAGTGTGTTGAGAAATTGAATGAGGAAGGAGAAGACAAAAGAAATATCTAGGTTATGAGAAAAAGAAAAAAAAAAGTTACAAATTGATGGCTATATTATACTTGAAATAAAGACTTTTGAATTTGGACCATTGTTGTTTTTTAGCAAGTTTAAAAATTTAAAACCGAACCCGCTCAATATAACCTGTATAAAATTAAAATTTTAACCCGATTTACCCGTAAAACCCGCCTGAACCCACCCAAAAGTAATATTTTTTATCGGGTTTTTCGGGTTCGGTTCGGGTCTCGGTTTTATGTTCACCCCTAATAACTTGTATGTTAGATAGTACCAATTTATACAAATTTTAAATATGATTTATACATTCAAACATAATATTTATTAATATATATAAATTATATAAAATAAAATATTAGTTCCACTTAAAAAAATATATATTTAAGAATATAGTTATTATATAATTGATATAAAGTATACTGAAGAGTAACTTTTAAAGCATTAAATAGAAAAGTAAAAAAACTTGTTACGTGTATTAATTTATAATTGAATGACAATATATAACCGATGATATTTTTATTATGAACTATTTTATTCTTATTTTAATAATTTATTATGTGCATAGTGATTCTAATTATAATTATAATTTATTGTATGAAATAAATATATTTATACATATAAGTAAAAATTATTTATAATTTAATTATTTTGTTGTGATTATACTTAAAAATTATTTTCATAATAAAAAATTATTTGTAGTAATATTTTTTTTGTATAATTAATTAATTATTTGAGACCGATATTTGTTGATCCGACCAGGCGATTATTCATGCGATTGATTCTTAAACTTCAAAATTTTAAATCTAATATAATTAAAGTCTTGAGAAAGGCTAATTTTTGACAAAATCGATAAATTCACTTATCAATATCATGATATAAAAAATTAATTAAAAATTTAATAAATTGATATATATATATATATATATACATACAAATATATATATAATTATACTTATTATTACGATTGATTTAATTCTAATCCAATGTTTATGATAAAATCACTAAATAAGTCACATGACCAAATCAATACCCAATCACGTACCTTTACGAGAGTCCTAATTAGTAGGTTAAATCTAAGACACCTAGTTGTGTACCTTTCGAATGATTCAAAAACACATTTTGCTTAGTTTGGTGGCATTGAAATAACTTCACATATTGTGAATCATATATAAGGATCCAGATGTCTATCATATGTTTGATGGAATGTCTGTGTTATATATATATGAGAAATCATTTTGCTTATTGAGTTTTGGTGTAAAGTTTTGAGAAAGGTTTAACTTTGGTGAGGAGGGACTAAGAACATGGACTTCCTTACTCTTGTTAATGCTAAGTCTTGACTACAGTAATTACTAAAATTGTAGTAATTATTTTTACCTTCAAAGGAAGACATCTTGGTCATCGAGATTGTGTTGTGTCTTAAACACCAATGCCATTGAATTTTGTCAAAGATAATTGTTTCTTAACTGAAGTTTGTTTAGGGAAAATTTAATGAAAGCTATTTCAAAGAATAGATTAGACTATTATCATAAATCAAATTATAGTAACTAGGCTTGCTTTATATCAAACTATTTTATTTAAATTTTTCTTCAATTTATATATAGGTTGAAAATGAAAAGCAATGTTATTGCCAAATGCAATAAGTTAAATTAAATTATCCCACATTGCAGGACTAAGACTTCAGAAATGATATCATAAGTATTGTTTTTTATATACTTGTGTTGCTAA